CACTGGAGGTGTTCCTAGACACCAATGTAAACACTGTCTTTTCTTTGAAAAGGTGGTGTTTACATTAAATTGTCTGCAGGGACATACTATAGACACCAGATCAACTACATTAACCTGTAGTTCTAGTGACTATAGTGTCCCTTCAATGAATATATTCCTCTTGCAAAATTATGGCTTTCTGGTTTTCACTATTTTGCTTGGTGTTAGAACGTTTAACTCTTTTCATAAAATATTACCATTGCTTCTTCTTTATCTTGAGAGTTGTGCTCTAGAAGATTCGGAGGGGATCTCTAAGGATCTCTGATCTTGTTAGACTACAAACCAAACATATTAAAAATAAGGGAAGTACAAGACGACCAATGGATAAGAAAGGACATTTCCAGGCTGGAACATACAGTTAATGATGTATTTTCCTGTTGTCAGGTTGCATTGCCAATATGTGACAATAATATTGCTTTAGTCTATGCTTTGCCAAGAAATGCTGATAGGATTCATTTTGAGGGTCTGATTAGTTGGCCTATTGTAGACTTGATTCTACAGCCAGTCAAATCATCTGTCGAAGGTCATATTTTGTCCTCAATTTTTAAATATTCAAGCAAATTGCCTTATAGAGAGGTATGGCGAAATACCCTTGGGATCCACTGACTGGTTTTATATGCAGTGTTTCTGAACTTACCAGGGGCTAACATAATTATTGACTTTTATTGAGGCTCCAAGAGTAAATGATGCAGGAATTAACAGAACTTTCCAACCGTATCCAAACCATTGCTTTGAACCCCATCAGGCCAAAGAGCAGGACTGAATTTGAATGACAGACTGAGTTATTTACTAAAGGGAGAATTCAGAGTAAATTTAAAATTTAAAGTAGCCGAATTGAAAGCTGAGCAGATCTAGAGAGAGCTTTTCATGCTTGGCTATTTTGATCTTAAATTTGAAATTCACGTTGAATTCTCTTTGATTAATCTCTTTAGCGAAACACCCTGTGGGTATAGAAGGTGTTAGAACTTTGGGGACGTGTTCTGATACATTCACTGTTTAGGTATATCACTGTTTAGGTTGTTACCAGTCCCTTGCCATTACATTTATAGACATGTTACCATTTTCATCTTCCTAACGGTGATTATTTTTTTTCTGGTTTTTAAATGAGAGTGTGTAGGACACGCTAACACCTTAGGATTCCTGGAGATTGTATGTGTCAATCATTGAAACTTGCCCTGATCTACCAATTAACGCATTCCTGTATTCTAACTGAACCTCTTGACTCAATGTAATCGCTATTTTTTATTTAAAAACTCCATTCACTTATTTTAAAAAAGTTTAAAAACTCACCTCTTCACAAATCGTTCCTGACCTTTACATTTGATGCACAGATAATACATTCAGCTTGTGCTATATTGAGTAATCAACCCTACAAAGCATGAAGTCCTAATTACTATTATTATATCAACCCTTCTCCAAATGTAAAATGATATCATTTTATGTTGTGCTAAATGATGCCATTGGTGAGTAAATACGTAGCTCTGTTGAGTAGATATTCACCCGTGGTCACTGTGCCATGGAAATTCCAGACTGGCAATGGAGAGTAATTTTTATGGCCTGGCTAGTAGTGTAGGAAATAAAATGTTATGCCTTGTATGGTGTTATGCATTACATTTATTTAAACAATAACATTGTGTTAGATACTGAATGTATATTTCAAGAAACTGTAACTGAAAATTCATCCTCTGCAAAATGTATGTTTGTGAAATTAATTGTAGAATTAATATAGGATTTACAAAATCTGCCTTGACTTTACTTCACAGTGTTTCCATAATTCACATTTACCTGGTTGCTCTTATTACATATGTGACGGTATCACCCAACGCAGCCATCAAGGATGATGTGTAGTGATGTGTAGTGCTGAATAAAGAATATATTTGCAGGAAGAATACTACCTTAAACCAACAGGAGAATGCAATGCTGTGATTCAATGACCCAGTGGCTGCTCTACACGCCACTGCTCCTAAATCTATTATTTGCATGAGAACGATCAAACCCCTTGGAAAATTAGTATTTTACACAGAAAATGTATCCATGGGAAGAACAGAACTGGATTTGCAGTAAGGCTAAGAATGCATCTCATTATCTAACAAAGCCAATTTGCACCAAGCTGGTAATCACTAACTTGGGCATTTCAAGCCTTGTTGGATACTTGGTTATTTTTGTCAAGCCAAGTCAACAAAGCATCTCACAGCCTTGTTGGATCCTTGGTTATTTTTGTCAAGCCAAGTCTAATGTTAAAATGATTGACGTGGTGTGATGTCTATCAATTACTCCTACATAATTCAGTTTCAACCTAATTACATTTAACACAGTTGCAGTCAATTCAGCGTCACTCAGCGTGTTTGGGTTTTAACTTGGCATATCGTAGAACTGCAATTTGTGTACAAAAACCCTTGTTATATAATTGGTAGTTTAGTGCTGTGGTTTTTTATTTGTTTTGGTTTTTTTTTTATATTTGTACTAAAGACTCAACAGCAGAACAGAATGGCATGCTTTAGCACAGGTGAAAAATCATTTGGCTCAGTTTGTTAGGTGACTCACTGCGGCATTAAAAGGTATATCCTGAATTCTCAACCTGTTGATGGATCTAACGGGCAGATTTGAGTGACTATGGATACATTAAATATGATTGTAAGAGTCTCACAGATTATAATCATAGATATTCCGGGTTATTTACTAAAGTAAAAATTGCAGGGAATTCTAAGTGTATTCAAAGTAAATTTCAAAAGTTAGGCCAAAACGAACAATTTAGAGAAATTCTCCAGGTCAATTCTGCACCCAGTTTGAATATTTTGACCTTATATTTGAAAATCACTTTGAATTCCCATAAATTATAATGTTAGTGATACTCTGATTGTGTAATATCCTGTGCATAGATATAATGTCATATTGGTTATATGTATCCCATACATTCTATTGTGGGAATATGGGAAGGCTATTTAGTTGCCCTAGAATTGCATAGGTTTTCCTGTATAACCCAGTTCACTTTTGTAGACATACTAAGCATTTGGAGATTCATTTTGTTACAAACTGTAATTTGCCTGAATTTGGGACAAAGCCAACAAATTACGATCCAAACGACTCGAGCAGTAGCTGAGCATGTTTGTGTTGATTTCTGATTCTGAATTCCATCCTTTGCACCAAAAATGTTTTTTTAAATAAGAATCTTTTAGGGAAAACCTTGATTAATGGCTTTGGGCGCCACTAAATGTTGATTTTATTAACAGATCAAGTGAGAAGTGACCAATACATGGGGTAAAAAAGGAGGAGCAGGAATTAATATATTATAATTATAAAATATATTAATATTTAATGCATAAATATAAAAAAAAAAAATAAAAAAAAATTCACTGTTCCTTTTCTCTCTTTTGGCTAGTTTTCTCACTTGCTCTTTGAACCAAATTATGGAAATATGCTTCAATCAGTGTACTGTAAATATGCACAGAATATTTACATTATGTATATATTTTCAGTACACTGATTGGCCCATTTTAATGTCCTTTCAGTTCATCTGATTCAAATCAGTTTTCCATCACCAGAATTCTTCTGATTCGAACAACTATATGGGTGAAATTTGGCTGTCTTGAATTTTTTGGTTTTTGTGCAAAATGTTTTGGCACTAACTAATTTTGCTGCTGTGTACAAGTCTCCTGAGTATTTCTACAGAAGGAGATTTCAACAAAAAAAAGTTTAATCAAATAGACAAGTTTCCGGTCAAAATATCCATCAATGTCACTGAATCCTAGCAAACATAAACTGTATTTAGTGCCAAGAATTCATTTATTTATTTGGTAATGACAATTTAGGAAATGACCCTTTTAGTTTTGTCAGTTTGGTATATGTGCCAAATTGACTAGATCCCTGAAAATACCACTGAAATTTTGCCTGCAAGCAAATATTGATTTAACTATTGATCTAGCTGAGCAGAAAAGTCAGTATAATGGACTCTAGTACTTAACTTGAATTGAGAAACAGTAAAATAAAAGACTGTAATCTCTATTCACGGTACAGTATCTGAACAATTTAGTTGAACAAAACATCAATTTCACCGTTTTACATATTCCAGTTCTGCTGTTGATCCAAGAAAAGACAAAACCACAACAATTTAAAGCAATGGTTCTTAGCCTGTATTGACAGAAACCCAAATCAAATTACAATGTATACACTGCATTCTATAAGTGAAGAATTCACTCACCGACCATCCTTGAAGTGTACTATAATTAACATTAAAATCAATTAGACATAACACCTTGATTAAACTCTTCATGATATTAGATGTGCGTCTCTCTAACTACATTCCAAAATTTATTAGAAAATTAAATCGGTATTATTTTCTAATAAAGTCCCCATTTATAATTATAGCCCTGTAAATCCTACTTTCTGAAAAAGATTATTTCGAAAGATATCCACTAAATTTGATAGAACAAAACCACAATGTATCTTGGTTGTTCATACTGTTAATATTCCTCCATGTTTATATTTAATGGGTGCCATTTTGTCTACAGTCCTGTTAATGAAGTTGACCATAGAGGTCTGTGTATTGGCAACATTTAAATAAAAAAACAAAAAAAATATTGATAGTGATAAACAAATATTGATATTATAACTTTAAACACAGGGTTATTCAATAAATTGCCAAGAATTTAAAGTGATTTTACAATTTTAAGCCACATTAGCTAAACTGAATACATAACTTTTCCAGTTCAGCTGTTGCGATCTAAAACTGAAGGTCGGTATTTACCATTAATTCAAGATAGGTACTTACTATTAATCACACATAATATTCTCATTCCATCTGTTAATAAAGATTTATATATACATGACAATTGGTTTATATTTCTTACTCAACTTTATCAAAAGTATAGTTTTTTTTTAATTTATTTTTGTTCTCAAAATACAATTGTCTACATTGAACCTCATTTGTTGCTTATGTGTCCAGTCTTATGATTAATCCAGAGCCTATGTAGAGAATTAATCAAAATGAGACTGTGTTACCTAAGCGAAGTTCTGAAATGGATTCTTTTCCTTATGTAGAGCATCAAGCAAAAAAAAAACTTCAGTGGGCTAGGCTTAAAGCATCCCTGTCAATTTAGATTATTTTTTTTGTTTTCCTTTCTCTTGTATGGTAATCATTTTACTCCCCTCATTGCCACTAGCTTTTATTTATAGTTGACTTTTATTTCTTGTTGTAGATTTCAATATCTGGGGGCCGCCATTTTGTTGTCCTCTGCCCATAATGTCCTCTCTTCGTTTTACAGATGGATTTGGGGTAAATGTGATTGGCAACTGACACAGAACCTTGCTTTCTGCCCATTGTCAAATTCAGTCGACTTGACTGTTAAACATAAGGAAATGTAGTCCCTAATATTCCTTATGTGTTTTTTGAAAACTACAGAAATCAGAATAAATAAATAAAAGAGATTGAAGCACAGTGAACTATATGGACGCAGATTACATCAGGTTTATTTTGGTGATAGAGCTGCTTTCTGTTTCTGTTTCATATTTACCCACAAATCAGTTAAATGAATCCCACAAAATGGCAGCAGACATCATGGACACAGAAAAAACAAAATGGCTGCTTCCAGATATTGAGATCCAACAGATGAAGAAAAATATAATAAATTAATACAAATAAAGACAAGTTGGAAGAAGGCCACTGTAATCATAAAATGTGGCTGGCTAAAGCAGAGGAAAACCAAAAGAAAGAAAAAAAAAACATGAAAGGGCCACTTTAGGTCCAAATCTAGACCCAGTGATCTTTGAAGGGGATTTATTCAAAATGGACAAGAATCTCTCAATAAAGTCTGTCATCAAGACTTCAAGATCTAATAAGAACTTTTTTATTTAGTACCACAGACTTGCTACATGAACGTTCCATTGATTGATAATTAACCCGCAGATGAGGCCAACAGTACAATTTCCGTATATATACAGTAAAACCACCTTTTAGATTACCTTGCGCGTGTGAGTGTTCAGTACACATGGTTGTCATGAGAATCTCTCTTTATTGTTGTATATATTAAGGTACCACAATAAAATTTAAGGATATACATTTGTCTGTGAGCACAGTTACGTCACACACACACACACATCCACAGGTAACACACCTTGCACTTTGGAAAAAACTGCACATGATGAAATTCCACCCCTGTACAAATCCCTTGTGTGTGCTGGCTCTGTTATGGGCGTACCCCTAGGACAAAATATTCCAAAAGGGGTACAATGCTGGGATTCAACAGTGGAGCTCAACTATTTTGTTGGGGGTTTTTTTTTGTGGTGTTTGGATAATTTGATCAGGGGTAAATTTTACATGGCGACCACGTTGAAAATGCATCACTTGTATTACTGCTTCTCAATATTCATCCACCCGGAAGGGGTTAAGAGGTCAGCTTAGCCAAAAATAAAATAAAAATAACTGTAGATAGCCTCCAGCCAACAGTAAGCTGGTATATCATTGTGGTTTGCCTAATAAATGGTTTTAATTAATGGCTGATGAGTTTGAAATACATGCAGAACCAGCCTTACATCAGATATCTTTAAAAATCTCCCCATTCCTTTGCATTCAAGTATATTTGTCTCTAAATATATATTTATATATATTTTTTTGTATCCACCGTAGTTTGTCCAAATTATGACAACTTTAAATAAATATAACAAAAATAAAATATTTCCCTTCAATCCATATACAGTTATATTTTGATATGAGCTGGTATCATTTTTTTCCTCCTAATTTTAACATGTTATGTGCATGGGTAAGCTGTCAAAAGGGAATGAATACATTGGACACCTTTGATAAGTTGCAATGTATTGCCAGCCCAGTAGGCCAATAAGGGGTCAGTATGAATAGCTAAAATGAGACTGTCAGTAGAAACTGATGCATAATTATTAGCAATGCTGATGAAGGCTGCCACCTCAACATTTTAGAATTAATCTTCTATATTGTATCTATAGGCTTCTATTAGCCCCTCTAAAGAATGCACAAAGCCAGAAATGCTGCAGATGGATCCGATGACAAATATGGATACATCAAAGAAGACATGATGCCATTGAAGTTTCCTCCACAGGAGTTTAAGATGGAAGAGACTTGGAAGGAGGAAGCAAAGGCCAGCTCCTGTGAGGCTACCAGTGAGGCCCATCAACAGGGCGAAGTGGGGCACATAAATGGCCATGAGCAAGGTGGATACAACCAAAGCGCATCTGAGAGTTAGTCCCCAGGACTTCAGCCGCCCATCACCTCCGTAGCAGTTTGGGAAGAATGATCGGGTGCTCTCTTGGAAAAGAGACTTCTCAAGGACCTCCACAGCAGCAAAGAAGGGTAATGGATATGACAGGAGGGCTTTGGCTACCAAGAAAAGATTGACCACTGCCCTAATGGTGGAGGGAAGATTGTCTGTAATAACCTCTTTGGTTTCATCTGCCCAAGTTAGGTAAGCCACCAAGGCAAAGAGACCCTTGAGGATACAAGCGGCAATATGGGTCCAGTTCATCATGCAGTGGAATTCCTTTGGAGTTTGCATGTTCCCTTCCAGCGAGGGCAAGAAGATCTGGGAGGTGTAACTGAAGACAATTATGCCTATAGAGATGGGGAACTTCTTCACATCTATGTAGAATTTGACTTTGTCCCAAGCCCAGTCTCTTGCTCTTGACAGACAATAGGCAATTACCAGGACGTTAATAACGAAATGAGCTAAGGTGCAGAGCAAGCTGAACTTAGACACAGCTTTAAGGTTCTTGAGGAAAGCGCATGGTAGGAGCACAGCAGTGGCGATGATGGACCAAGACTTCTGAGAAACTGGTAAGGTTGGGAAGCTGTTGTACATTAGGTTTCCACTGACCACTACATAGAGGATGCAAGTCATGACCAGTTCAATGATCTGAGCCACATTGACAATCCTACCCCCAAGTTTTGGAAACCTTGGTGCACAGCAAGCATTAGCAATGTCCACATAAGAGTCTCTCACCCTCACTGTTTCACCATCTTCGTTTTCTTCATAGAGGCAAGCGATGAGGATTTTCCCCGTGTAACAACAGACAACGGCAGCAAAAATTATGAGGAACAGTCCCAGGTATCCACCATGAAGAATGGCATAAGGTAATCCCAAAACAAACATTCCCTGCAAAACACAAACAAAATGAAAATGAGGCACCACAAATAATCGTGAAACATAAGCCTGGCTATAGTCAATCTACACTGGACTGATTTAGAATTGTAAAAGTTGAAGTCCAGCAACAACATAGGTTGCTCATTGAGTATTTGCTAAGGTTTATGCAAACAAACAGTGAAACTTTTGTAGATTTTGTGTCTATTAAGAAAAGTTGTCTAACTTAGTGAAAAAATAAATAATTCAACAGATATACGAGTTCTAGACCTTTTTTTATTTACTTGTATTGTTCCATGGAGTCTAGATTTATAACACACTATGTGCTTCCATTAGTTTCCTCTCTTACTTTACTAGTTATTGAACATGATTAGATTAGGACTAAGAAACACTCCAAACACCATAACAACTTTTACTTATTGCATAGGTCATAATGGAAGGGGGTCACCATCTCCTGTCTCCCTGGAAACACTTGGTTATAACTGCAGTGACCTGCAAAACTGGTGCAGCTATAAGTTTGTCCTTTCAATGCTTGGCATCAGAGGAGAACGCTGTACTTCCCCTGCACCCTACACAAATAATTACCTCCCCAATAAGACTCCTTCAAAATAACACAACTGAGAATAGAGCTGATATCAGCAAAGTGCCTCATCAGCTCAAGCATCATATCCACTCAGTCACTGTGATAAATGAAATTGCTAGCAACTACTTAATGGGACAGTACAGTCACCAAAACAACAACAGCTTATTGTATTTGTTCTGGTGAGTAGAATCATACCCTTCAGGCTTTTTGCAGTAAGCACTGTATTTTCAGAGAAAAGGCAGTGCTTACATTACAGCCTAGGGATATCTCCACTGGCCACTCCTCAAATGGCTGCTAGAGGTGCTTCCTGGGGCAGTGCTGCACAGAGTGACTGTCATTCAGTGTCTCTACTCTCTCCATGGAGACACTGAACTTTCCTCATAGAGATGCATTGATTAAATGCATCTCTATGAGGAGGTGCTAATTGGCCAGGGCTGTGTTTGGCTTGAGCTGGCTCTGCCCCTAGTCTGCCATCGTAACAGTCTCAGCCAATCCAATGCTTTCCTATGGTAAAGCATTGTGATTGGCTCAGAGAATCCCTTCTGCCCCTAATCAGACAAGCAGGCAGATCAGGGGCAGAGCCAGCAGCAGACTGGAATAAAGGTGAGATTTTACTATATTTAGGGGCTAGTGAGGTGTGTGGGGCTAGATGGTGTTTTTAACATATTTGTGATCCTGACCCTATAGTGTTTGTTTAACTACATAGTCTATAAATTCTGTTAGATTGGGGTTTATTAGATAAGTTTACACACCAGTAAAAAGAATGAGAACCTTCTGATTGCAACTTCCTTGTCTGGGTGTAGCTCATAGCAAAACCTGGAAAATTCTGGTTTTTGGAGATGAATATCATTTTTATTATAATTTTTTTAACATTACAAATATAATGCCTAAATAGTCATTTTAATGTTAAATTGTGATTGACTGAAGTCACCAGGAGGTTATATAGAATGTATCTGTGGGGAATTACATACTTTATGCCAATTAACAGGCTAATAGGTTGCCCCCAAATTTGCAATTCCCTTCTCAAGTCCCCGTCAGATCAGTCCATAGGCAGTGGCACACAGTCAGGGGTTCCTACTCTTTACAATCTTCTTATGCAGTGTGTACTTTCCCTGGTCGTCTGGTGGCTGTTATGGGGTGGTTGAGTGTATTTCCAGATACATATCTCTCTTACTGCTCTGGAGTTACCTGAAACTCATGGGTGTCCTGTAGCAAACATGCATGCTTATTCTACTAAAGGGTCCAAAGTCTCCCTCCCAAGGCAACCGGAAGGTGATTGAGAGAGTGCCATAATATGTAGGTAGAGAGTATATGACGAGGATGGACCTGGACCTCTAAAATTCCTGGTTTTATGAATAAATCCTGTAGATGCATTTTGTTCTATTCTGAATAAACCTTATTAATTTCTAAATATTTCTACCTTTACAACTTTTCTTAGTTTGCAATGATATATATACCAGCTCTTTAGGAACTTCTGGATCTTTAAAGTATCGGATCTCTGATGCTGGTCACTCCTGAAGCAATGCATTTATGTTTTGTCTGTTTTATCTTTTAGGTCACATGATAAGGATTACATTTTCAATCAAAGTGGCTCTACTTTTTTTTATTTCCTTTTGGCATATACAAAATCCCCCCTGAGCAGGTCCCATATTTGAGTTTTTTTTTTTTTTTTAAATGATACATCTTTTTGAAGTTATACACAAGGAAAATATATCCTTATGTATAAACTGCAGGTTGATAAATGGTGGAGCTTTATTCAAGCAACATGTCAACTTTGTCAACATTGCTATTGGCTGTGAAGCTCACTACTCACCTCAGTGTCACGTCATAGACGTTAGGTGAACAATGAGTTTACAGCCAGTGACAATGAGTCATGTGAGTCATGTGATGACTCTCGCACTATGACCTCAGGAAGATGCCAGAGGTCCTCCACATGCATGGATGGTGTAATTCACGCATGCTCCTTGGGCATGTCATTGTCAAAGATGGTGGCTTGCAGGAAGCATCAGTTTGACCAGCAGAACAGAAAAAGAGTAAGTTGCTTCATTCTCAGAGCCAATAAAGGTTCGCAGGAATGAGGGAGTCTAGAGGGATGGATCAATAGGTTGGGGTTCAAGATGTGAGTTGATGACAAAGCCCCTTTAATCATTTCTTTGGGTACCCAACTTGTTTATATATGGGACAAAGCTAATAAAAATTTTTAGAAAAAAGAAAAAGCTACAGATGTTAGGTGTAAAACACCCACTCTGTGGCCAAAATTGGACTAGAGTAGGTAATAAAGGGCCTAACCCTTAAATATTTAAATAGACAAACTAAAATAAATCCAACTACAATGGGGGTTAGATATATAAAGATTACAACTAGAGTTAGTCATTCATTTGAGATTACAATAGCGATACCATGAAAATTAATTTGAAGTCTTTATTAATTGAAAAAATTAAATTTGTCTTTTTTCGATTAACAAAAAATGTTGTTGATATACAATCCACTTGACATACCCACATCACAAGGATAAAGGAGATACCAAAGTTATAGTAATATAATTTAAAAAAATGGCTATCTTGTACTCATTTCTTTATTGTGACAAATGTGCTATATTTAAACAGGATTCTATCAAAATGCAGGTGTGAATTATTGCGAATTCAAAGTAAATTTAAAATTTTATATTAAAAAACTGAATTGGAAAATTTATATCTAGCTATGTTTTCAATTTAGCTTATTTTGCTTAAATGTTGAATTCACTTTCAATTCCCAAAATGTTACATATAATCTTGATGAAGTGGCTGTAGGTGTAACAATGAAAGAAAATGCGGAAAAACTCAAGCAGAATGAAAGATTTTTTTAACTAGGCTATGTTTCTCAAGTCACTAATAAAAGTGTTTAGACTCCAAGTGTATACCTACAGTTAAACAGGTCACCAGGAGTTTTTGCATCATGCTCCATATAATGCATTTTCATGTTTCCCAATATTGAAGCCATGAAATCAGGGTGAGAGGGGGCATACGCAAGTCAACAGATAGCCACAAGAATTGTTCTGCTTTAGCCTTCCTTAGTGACGACTGCTTGCTTGGTTTTAGTGACTTTATATCTGGTGTCTCTAAAAGCAGAGAGGCCCATATCGGCAATATCAAGGAAAGATCTCTGACTTATCTTATAGCCACTCTTTCTGAAGGCCATTTTATACCCAATTATAATATTTAGGGAAACTAATTAATATTCAAAAACTGCACCCAGGAAGAGATGCCAATAAAAATTGTTAAGGTAAAATAGCCCTTATATTTCCACAACAATAAACCTTACATTATTTAAATAAATAACATAAAAGCACATTTTGATATATTAAATTGTGCTAAACACTAGACATGGACATTTGTTTCGATCTGGACTGCCTTTTGTCCAAGTTTGGTCCGAATGGGCGATGGGTTGAATTCCCACCACTTTTGGTTCATGATTTTTTTTTCTGATTTGTTTCTAAATCGGGTTTTCGATACTGAAATTCTGCTTAGCCAAAACTCCATATGGACGAAATTTATTTATGAAAAATTATTTTTGGAAAAACAAATTTTCTTTCTATGCACAAGTTTACTGTGTATGTCTACGAAAACAAAATTTGGGCATCCACAAACATTTTTTTTAAGAATAATTGTTCAGTCGAATCAAATTTTCTCACTGTACACAAGTCTATTAATCATACAAGATCAGCTTTAAGTGTTATGAAAATATCTATTTAATTTAATGCTGAAAAACTCAAGGTTAAGTTGTATTGGTTACTATATTCCCTGTACTATACAGAATTCCCTGTAAATTTAAAGGGGCTTGTCATTTCCCAGATTTATTTTTTAATATGTGGATTGTTTATCCTTGTAATTAACATGTAAGCATTTGAGGGTTGTAAAAAATTAAATTAAATGTACAAATCCATGGCCCTTTCTACTCCAACTGGATGCAATCATCTTAGCTCCCTGTCAATCGTTGATATAAACTATGCAGTTTGCATCTGGCAGTTACCATGTAGAAAGCGTACAGAGAAGAGAAGAATGAAACAATGTTCCAGTTTGTCCTTCTCATTTGCATTTTTTGCCCTGACTGTGCCTGGATTTATCTGGATTGTGATGTCATTTGCTAATGCTTTAATATAAATTTTAAAGAAAACAGATCTCATGAAAAAATGGCTAACACGAGATATAGGTGATTTTCAATGTTTTATTAAATGGTGTAATTTTTGGAGAAGTGACAATCTACCTTTAATGGGGCAAGAGGGGTAAAGACACATTTGACCCCTTCATATCAGACAAAAAAAACTCCATAATTTCACACTTCTTCATGGAGATTTTTGATTTATTGTCATTTATATTATGATACGCCTGGCAGATTATTTCTAAGCATACAGTATTTCTGTAGAGACACATCAGATTACTTCTGAGTAAGTAATGGTATCCCATATATTTTGGTCTTAAAGGAACACTCCAGCCACCATAACAACTTTATTGAAATTAGTTTATTATGGTGGGAGGCAGTCCCAGTGCTAGCTGACCTTTAGGGGTTAAACCATTATGAACAAACCCCATAATCGTCGAGTCAGCACCTGACAAGAACTTCCTTTTCGGCTCAAGGCTCCAATCAGGAAGGTACATATCACTTTCACTTCATTTTGTAGGGAGCTTCTGATTGGCTGAGAGAGTCAGGAGATGCTGTCAACCAATCAGTGGTGCCCAGTCCAAGACTTACTGAAGCCTCGAACTGACACGAAGTGAGGGGGCAGAGCTTATGGGTGCAAGACTAAAGTCTTTGGGTGAAAACCATTCATTAACGATTTAACCCCTAATGGTAAACCGATGCCTGGGCCCTCCTTTCACCATAACAACATCATTCTGATTAGGTTGTTATGGTGCCTCGAGTGTCCCTTTAAATTTGCCACTCCCTGGTGTACTCCCTAAAAAATTATGACTAACTCCCAACTAAAGCAGTTTGAATTCTCTATGGTAAAATCTAGGCAAACATAGCTGATCTGGGAGATTCTCCAAATCAACTATACTCACAGTTTGATTATTAGAGCCTGAATTTTGCCATCTCTTTCAGCATTCTACAGATTGATTTTTAAAATAATTTTCATGTCCTCATTCATGGTCATTGCTGTGATTGCGAGTAGGGGTTTTATTTTACCATGGAGTTTTTGTTTGTTTGTTTTTAAATCATAACTGATGTATTTTACTAAATTTAATAAAAAATGAAATTAATGTGCCATTATGGGTACATGAGTACATGTTGGCTGTATCAGTATGTATTATGATTATTATTATTATTATTAGTTCTCAGTACTGTACATTGGGGCATTATAGTGTTTTTTGAGCCCTAACCAGCTTAAACCGGTTACATAGCATCAACATTTAACTCTAACCACCAAAGTTAGTAGAATCTCTGGTTCTGTGGGCAGTTCTAGCATGTTATTGGTACTGAAGGCGTTAATCCCACATCAGATAACCATCTCTCTATAGTACATCAGCACTGAAAGATTCGCTTCGCTAAAATGAGGACCAGCATACAGATAATGCACAGTGTGCAGCGCTAGTTTCTGCCACTGGGGGGCGACAGTCAACAGAGAAATGATGATGCACTGAGTGATGATCATAATTCAGAAGTTGAGGTGTTAGGGGCCCCGAAATGAAACGCCATCTTGAAGGATCAGAGTTAATGCATGGGATGGATGGATGTGGATGTGGGTAGGTGGATGGTTGGGTCAGAAAAAAAACAAAAAAACAGAGAAACGTTATGGGGAAATATATAGAAAGATAGTCTCTGTCCGTGTGTCTGTCATTGTGTGAATGTGTGTTTGTGTGTGGGGGAGGTGTTTTTTTTTATTTAGTATGTTTGTCTGTGTGTGACATTGTGTGTATGGCATAGTGTGTGTATTTGTATGTGTGTGAATGTATGTGAATGTGTATGACGTGTGTGTGTGTGCGTGCGTGTGTGAGAGAGAGTGTGTGAATGTGTGTACGTATTTTCGTTTTTGCTTTAGGGTAAGAAGGTGAGAATAAGAGAGACTGTAAAAAAAAGACAAGTGAGAGACAAGAGTAAAAAAAAAATGAGAGGTGTGAGAGACAAAAAAAAACCAACTAGATACTTGGAGGTAGACAGACAGACTGACATGATGACAAAACAGACAGAGCACTGAATCTTCCAGAATGAGAATGGAATATAAATATTTATTTATACACACACACACAAGTATATATATATATATAGAATTTTATTTTTTCGTTTTTATTTGTTTGGGTCTAGACATTTTCAGTTGGATGCAGACTGCTTATTGCATTCCTATACAGACTGTATGTTAAGGGCTATCTGTATAATCCCTACACAATGTACATTGCCATCCACAGGGAATGTGTCTATAGGGGATTCGTTTTACTAATATACAGGGGGTGTGATAATTAAATTTGTCGATTAGTTCACATATTTAACACAACATCCTTTCGTTGCTCTCACTCATAGATTAAAATGAGGAAAATATTCTTTTTTCACCCCTTTTTTATTTCCTTTCTTCCATATGCAACGATAAATTATATAAAAATATTGTTTTATGTGATTATATCGAGTACACTAAAGTCATAATGCGTAGTTACTAGTCAGAAATATATGTCTTTAGAAATATGTACAATATGTTTTTTAACCGTTTTTGTATGTTTTGTGATAATAATTGATTGAGATTTATTCGACATAAATTATGTTGACAAATTTCTAACTTATTTTTATAATTCCTTTTTTTTTTGTAACGTGTATTTTTTATTTTAGAAATAAAATAAAATGTTTATCTAGATTTGATCTGATTTTACTATAATATACCTAAAACACATCAATCTAGATTCTAGATAGATAGATAGCTAGATAGATAGATAGATAGATATACACACAGACATACAAAAAGACTGATGATAGATAGAGAGACAGAGTCTTTTTATCTATATATTAATAGTATTTTTTTTTTAATTCATGTAGTAATAGTATATTTTTAATTCCTTGGGCCCCTGCAGTATGCTTTGATTAGCTCTAATCTTGGGGGTTCCTTTAAAACCATATAACGTTTTTATTGAAAATGGATAGAATGCTCTTGTGGAATGTTGGACACCTTGTGCTATACGCTACATGAAAATCGGCCTACGAAGTCAGATATCTGTTTGACCTTGAAGAAAAGATGACCTCAAACGGATCACAGTCTCCTGAGGGGAGTCTCTAAGATTCACTGAGCTTAAAATTTAATTATTCTCTTTTCATATCTACAAGGACCAGTAGAGCACGTATCTCAATATGGAGAGGAGAAGATGGGGAGGTGAAGGTGACCATGAATGGTTAGAGTAAGAAGTCCTACCTGGATAGCATTGGTGACATTCCAGCCGGCTTCCCAAGCTGTGATTTTAGGTTTTCCAACAGAAGAAAGCTCAGAACAAAGTCCTTCTTCCTTAGAAGCAGAGGATGGGGGCCCCGAGCCATCTCTTTGGTAGTGGATGTCCCCTTCTGCTGGGGTGTCTCCAGCAGGCACCTCGGTCTTTAAGATGTCCATCTGTAGACCTTGTCGGTGCTCGTAGTCCAGATCATCACAGTGAGCAAAGCCAACTGCTTCTTCATTAGTGGCTGCTTGGAAGCCCATCCTGGCAAACATGCCACTCACCTTGGCCTGGGACTTATTCGATACCGAGGTTGCCACATTGGTCAATTTGCTCCTGATCATGGTAGCCATACTGGCTCTTTTTTCACCACCCAATATCTAAAAATAACAAGGTGTCCTCCTTGTTCTGCAGCCTCTGCCTTGATGAAGACTGTTACCTCCACTTGTTCAGACTGGATCTTCTCCACCCCCGACTCCCCCTAAGCATGACACCTTCTTGATATGTAATTAGAGCCTTTGAGGTGCCTCCATAGCGAGATCCAATACCTTCTTCTCATGCAGAAATGGAGGTCAGTGATGTAAGGAACCAGATAATGGAAAAGGAGAACTTGTGTCTACTTCCCTCAATGGCACTGCACTTCAATGCAGAGAATCCTATGGAGAAGGGAGTAGAATAAAAAAAATTACCCTTGGATTGAACACCGACCAAACGTTCTACAGCTAGAACATTCATCTACCAAGACACGGTTGGGGAGGCTCTGAATTCTGGTGGGGGGAGAAGAAGGGGTGTCTGCTTGACTGCTGCATATCTGGAGGAGGGTCTAAAGTCTCAAAGTCTACCCCCTTCTGTCACCACACGCAGTACCCAAACCCAACCCTACATCATATTCATTTAACATCCAATCCAAGCACCCATTTAGGCACCCACAGTCACCATTCCTCCACACCCTCCTTGCCTGCAACATCATGGGTTATTTCACTCCTTCTACCCCCTCCCCCTAATTCTATGTTCTACAGACATATATCCAAATAAATTCTAGGGATTTCTCCACACCAGAGAAAAAAAAAAACTTTTAACCCTACATCATCACCTAACTTCGCTTTAATAACCCAATGGTTTACAACCTATTACAGTGTATCGCTTCTGGTATTTTGAATAAATGCATCAGTGGAATCTATCGCATATACTAACATTATACCAAAGGAATGTACCCCAAAACCTCTTGTCATCCAATACATTACCCTCATCATTAAATCCCCTCCGATGAAAACAATATACACCATTTACAAGTCTTATAACTATTTTCATGACTGTATCTATTTTATTTTATTTTTTTAAAGCTCTATGTGTTTAATTTTAGCATGAATTTGTAGGCTGTTGATGTAGCAAGACATTCTACTGGGATAGACCATTCATTTCAATTCGCCAGGAGATCACTTGTAATTTGAACCAAAGGCTTAATTAATGGGGGAATTTCTCTCAGTATCGACAACAAGACAAACACAGTTATTCACTTATTTACCTGTACATTGCATTAAATAATATCGGTGTTGTCTTGTTTAGGCAACAGAACATACACATACAAACCACGAAAGCACCGACACACATACACGCAAAAACATACACTCACGTACAGACACACATACAAACCGCAAAAGCACAGACACACACACACACGTTTAATGTTGTATCTTCCAGTTCAATAAAATGCGGAAAACAACGTGCAATAATCTTTTTCTAAAACATTTTATTTTGTTTTATTTATCATGTCAGTTTAAGCACATATGACTGGTAGAATTACTCTAACAATATTTTATATATTCTATGTCCGACTAGATGGGAATATATTAAGAAATACGTTTTTCTACGGTTGGATCAAATTAATTTATGAGCGAATAAACTGGGATTTGTCTTAAAATAAAAAATAAAAAATGAAAGACAATTCGTTTTCGTATATATATATATATATACATATACACACACGAAAACGAATTGTCTTCAATTTTTTTTAATATATATTTTTATATATAGGTGGGAATTAATATGTGTGTACAGGTATGTATTACATAAAAGGAGATAATTGATAAATATTGCGATTATTTTGTTATTATATTCTTATACAATGATGCAAATTAAATAGTCATTTAAATGTTTGAATTTTAGAAAAAAAAAGAATATAATGTTTATAGGTCATACTTATTTCTTGTTATGTTTTATCATTATTTTCAATTCAATGGTTATTTTATTTTAAATATAAATACATTTTCTGGTTAATCCGTGCTTTCTTATGAATGTGTGAATTCTTTACCCCATTGTATGGGGAGCTGTGGGTATTTGGGGCTATAAGGGGTCTGTATTTGGAGATAGTGTTTGTGGTGTGTATAACGAGATATGACAAGCTCAGTCCCTTCTTTACAAATCACAAGCTTACATCTCATTGCACAAATAGGTCAACATTTGGCTGAAAATATCGTATTATTTGCTAGTTACGATGTTACCAAATGTAAGAAGAGTGTACATATTTATATTAAACTAATGTATTCATGTAGTCTGTACAAACATCACCTGTTATATACCGCTTAGTAAAGAAAATTTATTATTTCATAATTATTTATAAATATTTCACACATTTATATATATTTAATAATAATATTTTTTTTTACAAGCTTAAATAGAAAAATATGTCTTAGATAGATAGATAGACAGACAGAGAGATAGACAGACAGAGAGATAGACAGACAGAGAGATAGACATACAGATAAATAAAGAAAGGGTGGAATAGAGAGAGAGAGAACATATACCAATATAAAATATATGCATAGTATCTGTTGATGTATGCTGGTGTAGAATGAATGATATAATACTGCGTATATGATTTGGAGGTAGCCAGGATGTGTCTCTGTTTGACATTTTGTAGGTGTGACCTCACTCAATAATCTATTAGAGGATCACTACCCAGCAGAGAGCCCCTGCCCTGTGTATGAGGGCAATGCCCCAGGGGCACTTTATTCTTACCATGATCTCTTTGTTGTCCTTATTGTCCCCTGTGTGTCAGCGAGCTGTTATTTAATATGAATCCCATGTTGTATAGGATTTTGATATTCTGTAACCTCCAAGGTGGGTACATGTGTTTCCTGGTGTGTATAGGCATGTACCTGTGTTTGTTTGTAATTGATGTGCATTTATGTATGTGCATTCGTGTGTGCTTATGTGTGTAAATGTAAACGTGTATATATATATATATATATATATATATATATATATATATATATATATATGTGTGTGTGTGTGTGTGTATGCTTGCGTTTGGTGTGTACATTGTTAAGTTTCTGGGGAATAGAAGGCAATAATTTAAAGTACTACACATGATTATTTTTCAACAGACCAAACGATCATCAAAAGACTGTAATGCATGTGAACATGTGCATTACAGTCTTTTTATGATCGTTCGGTCTGTTAGACACACAGTAGTAAAAATAAATAAAATAACATTTTAAAAATATAGTAACAGTGTAAACACACACAATATATTATATTACACGCATACAGGGATTTTGGACAGGAATTTGGCACAGTAAGGGTTAATTCTACCACCAGTCAGTAAGGGTTAATTCTACCCCCATTCAGTTAGTGTTGCATTCTACCCCAATAAGTAATGATTAATTTAACTACCAATCAGTAAGGGTTAATTATATTTCCAATCAGTAATGGTTAATTCTACTCCCAGTCAGTAAGAGTTAATTCTACTCCCAATTAGTAAGGGTTAATTCTACTCCCAATCAGTAAGGGTTAATTCTAATCCCAGTCAGTAAGGGTTAATTCTACCCCCAGTAAGGGTTAATTTTACTCCCAGTCAGTAAGGGTTAATTCTACCCCCAGTCAATAACGGTTAATTTAACTGCCAGTCAGTAAGGGTTAATTCTACCCCCAGTCAGTAACGGTTAATTTTACTCCCAGTCAGTAAGGGTTAATTCTACTCCCAGTCAGTAGGGGTTAATTCTACTCCCAATCAGTAAGGGTTAATATACTCCCAGTCAGTAAGGGTTAATACAACTCCCAGTCAGTAGGAGTTAATTCTACTTCCAATCAGTAAGGGTTAATATACTCCCAGTCAGTAGGGGTTAATTCTACTCCCAGTCAGTAAGGGTTAATTCTACTCTCAGTCAGTAAGGGTTAATTCTACTCCCAATCAGTAAGGGTTGATTCTACTCAGTCAGTAAGGGTTAATTCTACTCCCAATCAGTAAGGGTTCATTCTACTCAGTCAGTAAGGGTTCATTCTACTCCCAATCAGTAAGGGTTAATTCTACTCAGTCAGTAAGGGTTCATTCTACTCCCAGTCAGTAGGGGTTAATTCTACTCCCAATCAGTAAGGGTTCATTCTACTCAGTCAGTAAGGGTTCATTCTACTCCCAATCAGTAAGGGTTAATTCTACTCAGTCAGTAAGGGTTCATTCTACTCCCAGTCAGTAGGGGTTAATTCTACTCCCAATCAGTAAGGGTTCATTCTACTCAGTCAGTAAGGGTTCATTCTACTCCCAATCAGTAAGGGTTAATTCTACTCAGTCAGTAAGGGTTCATTCTACTCCCAGTCAGTAGGGGTTAATTCTACTCCCAATCAGTAAGGGTTCATTCTACTCAGTCAGTAAGGGTTCATTCTACTCCCAATCAGTAAGGGTTAATTCTACTCAGTCAGTAAGGGTTCATTCTACTCCCAGTCAGTAGGGGTTAATTCTACTCCCAGTCAGTAAGGGTTAATTCTACTCTCAGTCAGTAAGGGTTCATTCTACTCCCAGTCAGTAAGGGTTCATTCTACTCCCAATCAGTAAGGGTTAATTCTACTCTCAGTCAGTAAGGGTTAATTCTACTCTTAGTCAGTAAGGGTTAATTCTACTCCCGATCAGTAAGGGTTAATTCTACTCCCAATCTGCTGCACTCTGATACTATCTGTCCAGCTGCAAGGAGGTAACTCGTTCTGAGAAATAGAGATAGTATGACTGCTTCCTCCTATGAAGATCCTTAGCAGGTAAGTGATTAAACAATACTTTTTAACAGGGAAAATGGGAAATGAATGTATTTATTCATGTCAGGCTGGTTTTCAGTGCTGGGTGGGTGGGTGGGTGTGAGGAGGGTGGTTAATATGGAATAGAGGGAGTGAGAGAAATAGAGAATGAGACAGAAAGAGAAGGAATACTCAGAGACAGACAGCGAGAGAGAGTGAGAGATTTAAAGGACAGGGGAACAAGTAAAGAGAGAGACAAAGGGAGGGTGTAAAAAAGAGACTGATGTCAATAATTCTGGAAGTAAAAGAAGACAGGCAGACAGACAACAAAGCCACAAGGGAATGAAAATAAAGAAAGCCCAAACATCACATAAATAATGTTATACAGGAGAGAAAGGCAGAATGTGAGAGACAGAAAGGAATAAAGAGAGGAAAGGAAGGAATATTAATAGAGAAAGCAAGAGGAGAGTGGAAAAAAAAGGAATAGAGAAATCTGGGTGAAGGTGCAGGAACACAGGAAAAAGAGTAAGTGAGGAAGAGAGAGTGAGAGAAAGAAAGAAAGACAGAGAAAGAAAGAGAGGAAGAGAGAGAGAAAGAACGAGAGAGGAAGAAAGAAAGAAAAAGAGAGAGAAGGAAAGAGATAGAAAGAGAGGAATCTAGATAGATCGATGGATACAGTGAGGTGCAGAGAGAAATAAATGAGAACCATAGAGAGACTTACAGATAGCAGACTTGGTGAATGAGAGGAATACATAAATGAGATTTACCGAGTTGCTCTCCTGTCCATGGCTGCACTTAGTATCCTGACAGTGTGCTCAGAGCCCTGCTGCTGCCTGGGAGCCTCCATAATGCACTCTGTCTCTGTCCCAGTCCTGATACATTATATACACACAGGGCAGGGCAGGTGCAACGTGGGGCCAGGGCAACACCTCCCCCAAACACAGCCCTTTATAGCAGTATCCCTGCATCCCACTGCTAGATCTGGTACTTTATCCATCATCACCAGCATATTCACTGCCTTATTAATACCATATACTGCCTTATTAATACCATATACTGCCTTATCAATACCATATACTGTGTTATTAATACCATATACTGTGTTATTAATACTATATACTGTGTTATTAATACCATATACTGCCTTATCAATACCATATACTGTGCTACTAATACCGTATACTGCCTAATTAATACCATATACTGTGTTATTAATACCATATACTGCCTTATCAATACCATATACTGTGTTATTAATACCATATACTGTGTTATTAATACTATATACTGTGTTATTAATACCATATACTGCCTTATCAATACCATATACTGTGCTACTAATACCATATACTGCCTAATTAATACCATATACTGTGTTATTAATACCATATACTGCCTTATCAATACCATATACTGTGTTATTAATACAATATACTGCCTTATCAATACCATATTCTGCCTTATCAATACCATATACTGCGTTATTAATACCATATACTGCCTTATCAATACCATATTCTGTGTTATCAATACCATATACTGCCTTATTAATACCATATTCTGTGTTATCAATACCATATAATGTGTTATTAATACCATATACTGTGTTATTTATACCATATACTGGATATACATATACTGTGTTATTAATACCATATACTGCCTTATTAATACTATATACTGCCTTATCAATACCATATACTGTGTTATTAATACCATATACTGCCTTATTAATACCATATACTGTGTTACTAATACCATATACCGCCTTATTAATACCATATACTGTGTTATTAATACCATATACTGCTTTATTAATACTATATACTGTGTTACTAATACCATATACTGCCTTATTAATACCATATACTGTGTTATTAATACCATATACTGCCTTATTAATACCATATACTGTGTTACTAATACCATATACCACCTTATTAATACCATATACTGTGTTATTAATACCATATACTGTGTTACTAATACCATATACCGCCTTATTAATACCATATACTGTGTTATTAATACCATATACTGTGTTATTAATACCATATACTGCTTTATTAATACCATATACTGTGTTATTAATACCATATACTGCCTTATTAATACCATATACTGCCTTAATAATACCATATACTGTGTTATTAATACCATATACTGCCTTATTAATACCATATAATGTGTTATTAATACCATATACTGCCTTATTAATACCATATAATGTGTTATTAATACCATATACTGCCTTATTCATATCATATACTGTGTTATTAATACCATATACTGTGTTACTAATACCATTTACTGCCTTATTAATATCATATACTGCCTTATTAATACCATATACTGTATATACATATACTGTGTTATTAATACCATATACTGTGTTATTAATACCATATACTGCCTTATTAATACCATATAATGTGTTATTAATACCATATACTGCCTTATTAATATCATATACTGTGTTATTAATACCATATACTGTGTTACTAATACCATTTACTGCCTTATTAATACCATATACTGTATATACATATACTGTGTTATTAATACCATATACCGCCTTATTAATACCATATACTGCCTTAATAATACCATATACTGTGTTATTAATACCATATACTGGATATACATATACTGTGTTATTAATACCATATACTGCCTTATCAATACCATATACTGTGTTACTAATACCATATGTCGCCTTATTAATACCATATACTGTGTTATTAATACCATATACTGCCTTATTAATACCATATACTGTGTTATTAATACCATGTACTGCCTTATCAATACCATATACTTTGTTACTAATACCATATGCCGCCTTATTAATACCATATACTGCCTTATTAATATCATATACTGTGTTATTAATACCATATACTGCCTTATTAATACCATATACTGTGTTATTAATATCATATACTGTGTTATTAATACCATATACTGCCTTATTAATACCATATACTGTGTTACTAATACCATATACCGCCTTATTAATACCATATACTGCGTTATTAATACCATATACTGCTTTATTAATACCATATACTGTGTTATTAATACCATATACTGTGTTATTAATACCATATACTGCCTTATTAATACCATATACTGTGTTACTAATACCATATACCACCTTATTAATACCATATACTGTGTTATTAATACCATATACTGTGTTACTAATACCATATACTGCTTTATTAATACCATATACTGTGTTATTAATACCATATACTGCCTTATTAATACCATATACTGCCTTAATAATACCATATACTGTGTTATTAATACCATATACTGCCTTATCAATACCATATACTGTGTTATTAATACCATATACTGCTTTATTAATACCATATACTGCCTTATTAATACCATATACTGTGTCACTAATACCACATACCGCCTTATTAATACCATATACTGCCTTATTAATACCATATACTGTGTTATTAATACCATATACTGTGTCACTAATACCACATACCGCCTTATTAATACCATATACTGCGTTATTAATACCATATACTGCCTTATTAATACCATATACTGCCTTATTAATATCATATACTGTGTTATTAATACCATATACTGCCTTATTAATACCATATACGGTGTCACTAATACCACATACCGCCTTATTAATACCATATACTGCTTTATTAATACCATATACTTTGTTATTAATACCATATACTGCCTTATTAATACCATATACTGCTTTATTAATACCACATACTGCCTTATTAATACCATATACTGCCTTATTAATACCACATACCACCTTATTAATACCATATACTGTGTTATTAATACCATATACTGTGTTATTAATACTATATACTGTGTTATTAATACCATATACTGTGTTATTAACACATGCACTATTACAGCATCAACATGTGAATATTAATATTAATATATCTGTCATAAAATATATCTTTATTTTGTATTATTAATTTTTTATGTAGTTAAGCAACTATTATTTGTGGGCTGAGCTCCCTGTCAATCTGTGTGTGTGTATTCTGTAGGGTATGTGTATTCTGTAAGGTGTGGATGTATTCTGTAGGGAATGTGTATGTGTATTCTGTTATCCCAGCAGACAGACCCAGGTAAGTCTATACCTGCAGGCTGTGGCACTGTGCAGACAGTGAGCTGCAGGTGTTGGGTGGGTGAGGTGGTATTAGGATTGAGGCATTGTCCAGCATGTAATGTGAGATTTATCAGCTGCTCAGCATCAATGGAGCTGCTTATAGTGTGGGATTGTCTCACTGAGTCACTGGTCTCTGCTTTGCTTGATAGACTCACAGGACTTTCTATGGTTTTTAATAAAGCAGAGTTATGGATAAATATACAGAACACAATATACATTTACCTTTCTTCCTACCTAATCAATTTATCACATGTACAAATATGGATTCTGATCAATCTATTACAGGTATAGAGCTTTATTATACTCTATTTAAACCCAAGTCATTCATATAGTCGAACTCAATATCTATCTATTTCTTTTTCTTTCTTTTTTTCTTTCTTTTTTTCTCCAACTTCCCATCTCTCTCATCTCCATCTCCCCCTCCGCTGCATCTCTCTCCCATTCTCTGTTTTCCCAAATCCTTCTCTCTCATTCACCATGTCCTCACCCCTCCCTCCCTCTTTCTCCCAGGCATCTCATGGGAGAGATATGAAAGGGTAATAAAGAGTTGCACAAAATACTATCAAAAGGCAATTAGCTGAATTGCTGGAACAAGACCAGACTGTGAGTGACAGGGTTAATAGCTGGGAAGGCCCTCTCTCTCCATGCTCTCTCTACATCTCCCTGTCTCACTCTCTCCAGCTCTACCTCTGTCTGTCATCCCTTTCTCTAACAAATCTCTCTCTAACAAATCTCTCTCTCACCCCTTCTCTCTTACTCTCTCCATCTCTCCATCTCTATGGGATTCTGAGATACAGGACTAAAAGCAATAGCTATTAAGGAGCGCTCCGTGGTCCTGATCCATAGGACTCTCATTCCCTGGATATTATGAGCAGTTTACCATATAGGAATTCAGTTTGTCTTGCTGAGGTTTTCCCATCACTCATCGCTGATTCAGATGCTTATTTATTCTGTAGAGCTTCCATATTTACCTCCAGGCGTTTCATACATCATACAAGTGCACCCAGTGCTTTCTATGGAAGAGCTGTGGTTTCCCTTGTCAAAATAATTTTATATTTTTACCAAATGTTTCTATAGCCATGTTTCCATTTCCACCTGCCCTCCTAAAAAGTCAAAATGAGTCCAGTAGCATCCCCAAAGACCATCCAAGGGAGAACCAGGGAAGGCCTGCATTATTTTCCACTTGGGCAACTTGAAGATTCTCAACCCTTTTTCTGGAGTTGGTCAAAGATTTACCCCTTACACTTCTATAAGTCAGTGTTAATTTTGGTGGCAAATTTCAATTTAGTTTTAGTTGTATTTTAGTCATCTGAATTATTTTAGTTCTAATCTAGTTTTAGTCAAATAAATCTTAGTTGACACAACTAAAATCTAATGGACTTAGTTAAAGCCTATATATCTCTCTTTTGCCCCTTCCCCAGCCCCTTTGTGTCTCATTGTCTCCTCCATCTCCTCTAGGTGTCTCTCTCCCAAGCCCTGGTCTGTCTCTTTTGCCCCTTCCATAGCCTCTCTGTGCAGTGTTCATTTTGGCGGCAAATTTCAATTTAGTTTTAGTCATAGTCTTTTGACTAAAAAGCCATTTTAGTTTTAGTCGTATTTTAGTCATCTGAATTGTTTAAGTTTTAGTCTAGTTTTAGTCGACTAAATCTCAAACATTTTAATCGACTAAAATTTTACTAAAATTGTTCGTCTA